TGAAGCATCTAGAACTGGCCACTGGATACTGAGCTAGATGGACTGCAGGTCTGATCCACTCTGGCAATGCCTATCTTCTTATCGGTGGCGTAAATCCAAGACTATACTTTTGCTGATCTTTCTTGAGCTCTTGGGAGTCTCTAGTAATGCACAAAGCGCAGAATGAAATGAAGTGCATCTGAAGAAGTGAGGTTTTTACCCACGAAAGCTTATGCCCAAATAAATCTGTTAGTCTTTAAGGTGCCACCAGACTCCTTGTTGTTTTTAAAGAGCAGAATGAGCTCTCATTAAATATCATCTAGTCTCCTGTTCTTTCTCCTTTCAGGAAGGAAAGTCCAAAACTCCTGGAAACTTGCCCTGTCCATTATGTCAGCTGTAAATGACACGAAACTCAAATCTGCAATGTTCCTTCTCACCGGGATACCTGGGCAGGAAGACGTCCATCTCTGGATCTCCATCCCCTTCTGCTTCATTTATGTTTTTTCAATATTGGGAAATTCAACCATTCTGTTCATTATAAAAACAGATCGAAGCCTCCATGAGCCCATGTACATTTTCCTTTCCATGTTGGCCGTCACAGACCTTGGCATATCGATATCCACCATACCGACAATACTGGGCATATATTTGTTTAACTCTAGTGAGATCAGCCTCAATTCCTGTTTTGCCCAGCTGTTCTTCATCCACTCATTTGTATTCACGGAATCCTCCATACTCTTGTTTATGGCATTTGACCGCTTTGTCGCGATCTCTAACCCACTGAAATATACTTCCATCTTAACTCTGCCAAGAATATCCAAGATGGGACTGGTGTGTGTGCTAAGGGGGGTGGCCGTATCATTCCCATTCCCCTTTCTTCTGAAACGGTTCCAATACTGTCGAGCCAATGTCCTCTCCCATTCCTACTGCCTGCACCAGGATGTCATGAATCTGGCTTGTTCAGACATGACAGTCAACTACATCTATGGCTTGTTTCTTACAGTCTTCACGGTGGGATTGGATTCACTGCTCATCTTCCTCTCTTATGTGATGATCCTCAAAACTGTGCTGAGTGTTGCATCACACACGGAGTGCCTCAGGGCCCTGAACACCTGCGTCTCCCACCTCTGCGCTGTCCTGCTCTTCTACATACCAGATATTGGCTTGGCTTTGATACACAGATTGGGAAAGGGCTCTTCTCCCTTACTACAGATTGTCCTGGGCTACATCTTTCTCCTCGCCCCACCCCTGATGAACCCAATCGTGTACAGCATGAAAAGCAAACACC